CCCTAAATATTCATAAATGCCAACATTCACACATTCAAATCACGTAAATGAGTATACAAATGAATTTTTTTATGAGCACACACTTAACTATAGCACTCTAACACTTCCACCCACCTGCATTTTGAATAAGAATTCTGTTGCTGAATAATAAATGAGGTAATAGATATAGAAGCATTGTTTCAAGAAACATAAACTATTTGAATTGACTTGATTGTTATTTCATTAGAGTGATTTCTTCATCTGCTTTAGAACAAAACTATAAGTTATTTGAGGTAGAAGCTCTAATTTACACCTTCATATGTAGTGAATATATTTTGTCCCCACCAAAAATACTATGCATAAATGAGGTGCTTTGTATTTACTGACTAATTGGTTCTCATTGTATTTGTTACTCATGTACTACAGCTAAAATTTATCCTCCACATGTTGAGTCTCATTTTATTATTTTTGTTAAATACAGAACCACAAGACTGACTATCTTTGTATGCTGTCTGCTTCTCAGAGAAAAACAATGAACAAATAAGCATCAAATTTGATTTAAACAATGGAAACTACCTTAAGTTCATTTTGTCCTTCTAATAGAATTGCTGATTAGCCAGAATTGCCAACTTGATATATTTCTTTATTGATTTCATTTTATCAAATTAATTTCTGTTTTACAATTGTATATATGTTACAATTGAGTTATTTTTCTGTAGTGTCAACTATGACTTCCCCTACCTTCTAGAAACTTCTTGTTCCATAGGTACAAATGGATTGTATTTTTCTTGGGGAATTTGTGGCACTAACTCTGAATCTTGTTAGATGTCTTTTCAAGAAACCTCACCTAGTGATAAATATTTTCTGAAGAACTGTTAGATTTAATCATGAAAGTCCTGATCCATGTAGAGAGAAACATCACCAAAAGCATGTGCCCATCAATTAACCAAACATAGCACACTTCAGCTAGTACCATTCATATAAAAAGCACCATTACTTGACATGATTTTTTTTAACTTTGTATTTGGATATATAACAATATAGAATTTCGCTGTTTAGAAACAAAATTTAAATTAAAATTTTAGAATAAGTCAAGGATTGTTTTGTAGGAAGCAAATTCATAGTAGACATCCTACTGGGAAGTTGGAAATAGTTCTTTTCTTCGCAAAGCAAATTCGTCCTTCTAGTCAAGTTTTTTTCCTTGTAGTTGTGTTGATTGGAATGTGTCAGTTGTCAGCACAACTGTTAATCTTGAGACATAAAGTCTAGGAATGATGTTCTTAGTGGGAATATAATACTAAATGCTAGATTAGTTCATCCATCCTCTCACCATGTATTTTTAACCACACAGGTATGCAAGTGTCCATAGAGCAAATTCCACCATCAATGATGGCCTACCTGAGAAAAATTTAACAAAAATACATCAGTGTTTCTGTAGTTTCTAAATGGTCAAATAACATTAAGCAAAATTATCTAACTTGTATGCATTAAGCATTCTTTCTCCCACATTCTAATTACATTTGCTGAAACTCCACATGTTGACATTCGTGTGCAAAGAATATGGATCAAGTGGCAGTGCTTTTATTTCTTGCAGTCTGTCTATGTCATTGTTTTCTCTAAAGGTACAGAGACTTAGTTTTAGTAGGCGTTTGAAACAAGAACAGATGCTTGCCTTGTACATGCACAGACGTCCCCTGTTAGGGATGATCACAGTGGTATTTTGACCTGTGAGTGGTTAAATGCCCAATTAGAGACACTTACCTAAATGGACTGTTATGTAAAGCTAATGCTTTTGCTTGATCACTATGTTGTCTCTTCCAGCAGGTTGTCTCTTTTCTGAGAAAGGTTATAAACATCAAGGAGAAGTATATGAAAGAATAGAATTGATTAATGTGACATATTTGAGGGTTTTTTCTACCACTTTCTCAACAGTAAGTCATAGAGAGGCAGCTCCAAGCATAGTGAATTAAATTTAAATTACACAGCTTTGGCCAGAAAATTGTTCAGTTAATTCCACCTGAAAATGAAATTTGATTTTTTCCTCTATACTTGAGCCACTTCCTGATTTTTCATACCGTGATGATTTCTGCCAAGACATCTATTGAGTTTAGAACAAGACTGTTGCTGGCTTTTAATTTCTGAAGGAAAATAATACATGAAAACCAAGAATGCTTAGTTATTACTATAGGAAAACTACCTTAAAAATAAAATATAGTTTTATAAAAAGATCATATTTGTACAGTGATTTTTTTCCTACTCTAAGAGTGCTATGTGAGGTACTGTTGTATGACATCTTTTGTTATTTTAGATATTCTGTTTTGTGAAAGATAGCACTAAGAGCATTATAATATTTCTATTTGTTGTATTATTCCAAAAGAAAATTGCTTTAAAAATTTTGATTTGCATCATCTAAATAATTTATTCTGCATGGAATATTAGCCACTGAGTCACACATTTGTAGCACATGAATTTAATTTAAGAAACAATCCTCTTTATTTATATCTGATGCTTCTCTAAGTCACAATTCGAACATAGGCTATAAAAGATGGAGGCTTAGTTCAGAAAGTACCAACATAGCTACTATATTTTTATACAAATTCTAACATGAACCCTTAAGTTGAAAATAATTTGTATGTAAAACTTTGAGTTTAAGATCTAAAACTGGATTAATTTTAAACATAGTGCAGAACAATTTAATCAAAATGGTGCTACTTCATGAAGTATTAAAGACAATGTTGATAACACTGAAATGTTTTGATTGACATTTACAATGTGTATTATTCTAGGTATTTTTCATGCACTGATTTAATCCTTAAAACAATAGATCTATTATACTCCATTTTTTTTCAGATAAAAAAATAAAGCACAGAACAACTCTTAAAGTGTAACAGCAGGATTTCTTATCTTTGGCACAAATGACATTTTAGGGCAGGTAATGTTTTGCTCTTAGAGATGTGGCCTGTTTTGTAGATGGTTTAGCAGTGTCCTTGGTCTCTACTAGATAATAATAGCAACCTGAACCACAACCCCAACTGTAACCTAAAACATCTCTAAACACTACCAAATAGCACTACAGGTGGGGGAGGGGAAGGGCAATAATATCACCATCGAGATGAAAACCACTGGTTTAGGTGGAGGAGGTGAATCTAATTAACATAAATTGTAAGGAGATATGTGAATATCACAATATATTCTCCCTTGTACAACTATTATACGCTAGTGAAAAAAGAAAACAACTGGTTTAAAACATTTATCTACATGAATATACTTAAAATTCCCCAAGAAAAATGAAAAAAAATCTTGCAACCTGTTTAATTACTTAATCTAATTTTGTTTAATTTGAAAGAGTATTCAACTTTGAGGATAAAAGTAGCTTTCCACTAGAAGTAGGCCCTAGAATAAAGCTGGCGATCTGCTCTGGGATGGACTGGCACAATTGCCCTGCAAGAATACATAAGCACTTGTCATTATCATGTTAATTTGGATGGCATCTTGCATGATGAATTTGTGCCAAAAGAAGGATGGGTTTTCCCATATGAAGCACATTTTAATAAGAGATACCTACATGACTATCCTGCCACTTGCAGTAGTTTTCACTGTTAAAAATTTACACTCCAAGCAAAACCAGTATTTTGACTTTTCTCCTACAAAATAACAGCAACAAGATAAATGAATCCAGAAATTCTCTCAAAAGAATTAAGTGGAGAATAATGTGAACCCATTTCAAAATGCTATTTAAAGGCTTATATTTGTTTAGTTATATTCTGAAGCCTTGGCATCTGAACATATTCTATATTCTTAAAGATCCTGCACTTGGAATCATTTTTAGGCCTAATATTTATCAATTACATTACTTCTTGACTCTATTTTTCAAAAATGCCACAACTTTCTTAAAATCTATTTATTGATACTATAACCTCTGACAATATTAGGTGTTGCTGTAATGAATCTCATACCATATTTCTGCTTTTTTTTTTTGAACTAAGATGTCTTATTTTAATTCTACTTCTAAATGAAGAGGGCATCAATTTTGCAGTTGAATAGCCTCTGAACAATCCAAACCTTCTTAATGCCTAGCAGATGTAATGAGATGTTTTTCTTCTTGTACCTTGGATCTTGTCTGTTTTACTTTAGCGTTAGCCAGATCTGATGCAAACCTTCACAAATTCCATGCAACAACTATGTTCAGTTTATTGCTGCTTGTAAGTGGCAGTAAAAAACAACCTTTGATGCTTGTCAATGTGTTATGTGACTAACTGCTCGGATTTACACACTCTGCTTTTTATTACAGCGATAGTTGTCTTTTTTGCTGTTAAGTGCACTGAAGCAACTAGAATGTCACAGAGGAAGCAGTCACCTCACCCCCACCCTACTGTGAATATCTCACTTATTGTGAAACCTTAATGATAAAAAGGACAAGGGGAGAACAATACCCACTATCTGAACATTGTAAAAATGAGATTTGAATGTAAAAGCACTTTAAATGAGCTATATTTGCTCCCTTTTTTGCCTCAGTGAAAGATATATATTTTCTAATAATGACAAGCTACATCTCAAAGATTTATCAAACTCTACCTGGTTGTGAATGTAAAAGGTTATGACTGTTCTGCTTTCAGGGAGCCAAGCAAAGTACTACATAAAGCCCACTGATGCATACATGGTAGCACTCCTGGGGCCGTAATAAATTTCAGATCATCTGTTTCTGCCAGGTTGTCTTAAATATCTGTATGGTGCTATGTGCAGCTTCTCTTTGCAATGGGATGGATGTTGTCTGCAAGTTGACTATCACCATTTCTATGTCCTCTTGTAAAATGTTGCGATCAAGTGTTCCCATAGATACAGACACTTCCTTGAGTGATCTGTTCATGAATTTAAGCTGTGTCTTTGGGGAAGGAAATAATTGAATTTGCTTTCTCAGTATGTGAAGTAAACACAAACTGTGTTTCATTTGTCGATGAGACTAAGATAAAAGCATATGTAGAAGCCTTTACCTTAATCTACTGCCTGTGATTCCTTTGCAGACCACAGATGACATCCTTGTGGCCTCAGCAGAGTGTCCAAGCGATGATGAGGACATTGACCCCTGTGAGCCGAGCTCAGGTGGGTTAGGTTAGTCGACTTTTTTTCTTACTTCCTTGACTTTATTGTAAATGTTTACTGCATGCCATCTTCCTTAGAAGATGTGTCCATTGTACATAGAAAGCTACCCCATTATACAATGGTATATTGGGAAATTAGAATCTTTGCTGTTTTACATGGATAAATTTTCCTACATTTTTTTCTTTAATGTTAAAAAACAAAACCACCAAGAATATATATTTCATAAAAGCAATGGGAGACTGCACATAGGGTGCCACCTTACTGTTCACTTTCCATTAGCTTGCAACATAATTTTTGCAGCTAACAGTATAATGGGTTTTCCCTTGGGTCACTTATAGTAAAATTGTAAGGCTAAAAAATTACAGTGCATTGTGCGAAATTATTTGACCTTCCAACTGACAAAATGTCCCCACCATTCGCTCTACCAGAAAATTATCTTAAGTGATATATTTCTGAATTTTAGAAGTGAGAGCATTGTGGCAATAGTAAACCAAACAGCAGGTAGGGCCTTGAGACATTTAATACAGAAACATTTGAGTCTGTCAGTGTTTCCCTAAAATTCAAGCTGATGCATTTTACTTCTACATGATGAATAATTTCTCCTCCTTTTTTATGATATGTTTGTATCTCATCTGATATGACTAACACATAAATACTGTTTCCACACACCCCTTGTGCCATTAAGTGGAGGCTGTGAACCCTAAAAATGAATGAATCACAGTCTGATTTTCATAATACCAAGTACTGGGTCATTTCCATTCATTTGGTCTGTAAAGTGCTGTTTCGTAAAACTCAGTAATTTCTTTGTTTGTGTTAACTAAATGACTGTGGTGATATAGATGAACCACTAACTGTTAGCTCATGACCTTTCTAGATAGCCATCCCCTAGAAACTCAAAAGAACTTCATGTCACAATAAAATAATTAGCATTCTTTGAAAAATACCATTTTAAAGTAAATCTACTCATCTGAATATAAAATGTTTCAGAATGCACTGCCTGCATCACTTTCTCTCACTCTCCCTCTCTGTTTTTTTGTTTTTTGGCATATCACTTGCCCCTACTGGATGCAAGCACTTGAGAGAACAGCTGAGTACCATTGAGGAACAGGAACTCAGCAGGAGCCCCCGTGTGGGAGCCGCTCGGTGTGCTCCCACCCTCTTTCTAGACTTCACCCCACAGACAGGACTCTCAGCCCCAGAATCATCTGTCATGCTAAATTCTTACACCTCTGGTTACCAGCCATTCAACTTTCCCAATTCATTGGTCTCTCTAATTAGTCCCTCTTGGTTGTATGTACAGGTATGGTCACCTCAAAATACCATCCCAAGTCTCTTGGCTAAGATCTTGCCTTGTTTTTATTGGCATTCTCACTACTCTATGTTAGTCAAAAAGTGTGTGGGGGAGGTTTATATTATTATATCATTCCCACCCTCAAATTTTCTTTCCCTGTTTCTCTCAGGCTCACATGCCCACCTTTCTGGTGTTAATCCCTCACACTAGGACATTCTTTTCTTTTTTGGTATCTCATCTTCTCCAACATTTTCCAGTTTGGGTAATTTTAACAACAAAGTCTGGGGTTTATGTGTTTATATTTCAGTGTAGTTGATTTTGTTTTCAAAATTAGTGGGTTTTTTAAGATAGTCAGTCTTTCTCAGCATTTTATACAATATTCAAATAGTAGTGAGAACTACACAGGTTTTTTTTTTTTGTCATATTATTGTTGTACCAGGGCTACATTGTGACATTTATAAAAGTTCTTACAATACATCATAGTTAAATTCACCCCTCCATCATTCTTCTTTATCCCCTTTCCTCCCATTCCTAGCATAGTTTCCACAGGTCTCATTTTATACCTTTCATACATGAGTACACAATATTTCCACAGTATTCACTCTCCTATACCCTTTCCTTATGTTCTCCACCCTGCCACTGGTACTAGCCCCCAAACGGGACATGTTTTACATAGGTTCTTACTAATTATAGTTCTTGCTGATTTTTCTCTGGCCTGAACCCCTCTTTTGTTGTCTTAGTATAGGCAATCATCCTCCTTTATCAGAGCCTTTACTTTAAGTACCTAGTAAATCCAGTGTGAAAACTCTAATTGTACCTGAAATTGTCACTTTTTCTTTCTTTTTGAGCTAAATGGTCCAATTATTCTAGACATTGCTTACAGGTTTTATTCACCATTGCTTAGAGACTAGTCCACAGTCTCTGTTTTTTTGTCTGGACATTGAACCTAACTACGGGATGGTGGGGAGAGAAAAAAAGAGATGAAGAAAAAGAGAGAGATAACATTTTTGTCTCCTCTTTTCCTTTTTACTCACCTGTCTTTTGTCTGCTTTGTTAAATATTATAACATGGTGGCAAGGGAGTAGAAGCTTGGCAACAGCCATACTCCAGATGGTTTTAAAGTATAGCTTACACCTTCCCACATGAAAATAAACTCCATGAAGCAGGACACTGTTTGTCCCACTGCCTACATGGCTGTGTTCTGTAAGCTTAAATTCTTTTATATTGTATCAAAGTCTGTTGCACAAAACACAAGATGCACAGCTACTGACTCTATCTTATGATAACTATGTCAGTACTCTCAGACCAAGCCTAGTTTAACTTCCTCTCCTTCAGTATTTTTTCTCTTACTCCTTACTTTTCAATCCATCAATTCCTGTTAAAATAAGAGAGCAAAGCAAATTCTTTTGCATTACTATTGCCATAAGCTTGTCTTGTGATCGTCTCCCTCAGTGTCTTCACAGTATATGCCAGAAATAGATTCTTTTTCTGTATTGCATTTTGTGAGTGAAATCTTTTTCTACATTGGCTTTTCTATCCTATGACTTTTTTTCATTGCCCTTCTTTAGTGCTTCATGCAGTATTGTTCTGTTAGCAGAATTGGCTCTATGTGTGGCAGCTTCCAATAAAATTCTGTTTATTTTAAAATTTTTTTCCTATTTTCCAAGTTTTATTTAAGAATAGAGGGTTTTTGTTTTTAATCATACTTAAACCTGAATACTGTTTCACTCTAGGATATCCCTCCTAGTTTTTGTACATCTCTTTCTTACTTGCTATTTGTCTAAAATGCAAGTATAATTGCTGATGTTATTAGATTTTGGATGCTGTTAGATATACTTTGACAAAAATCATTTCAGATATCAGTGGGTCAAATTTGGTGAAAGTTGGCTGGTGGAGTGGCTCAGTGTTAAGAATACCTGTCTGCTAAACACAAGACCCTACATTCAATCCCCAGTTCCATAAAGAAAAAAAAATTAAATTTGGGGAAAGGGATTTTATAAAAGAGTAACATATTGAAGTATATATTCACTAATGTACATTTCCATCTCGCATGCGCACTTGTCATCCCCAAAGCTGCTATTTCTAAAGAGATACACACTTTTTTAAGTGCATTCCCCAAATATTCTGGGATTTTACCCTCTCTGAGGATTTACGCATGAAATTTTTCTAATCAGACCCTCCCCACCAACTTTCAAAAATAGTTTTTTCTATGCAAATATACCATGTACATTATTTAGGTGCTTTCCTAATTCTGCTAATGGAACAAACAAGTAAAAAAAATAAAATACACAAAGCATCTTCTTGAATAGTAGTAAATTGTACCTTTTATCAAGTGCTTGATAAATTTGAATTACCATGTGGCTCCTCTCAGAAGTCTTAATGAAGAGGGAAATTATATACTTAGTTATCAATATCATTATTGTTCAAATATTATTAAGTTGTAACATACATTCACTGCTGTACTGAGCTGTGGGCACAAAAATATAGTTTATACATTGAGTTTGATTCTGTTAAGGGATATTCATTTTACCCAGCTGCCATTTTAGTGACTTTGTCTAATTTTTTGGGTTTTCACCTTTGATATTAGAATATCATCTATTTTTCAGCAGTGTTGCAAGGATTAAAATTAATATATTTAAGGCACTTCTTGAAAAGCCTGACATAAAGTAGAATGTAAATGCAGCTTTTTGTTTTCAAAATTCAGTTATATAAAAATAATATTCAAGTTATTTTTTCCTCTTTACATAATGCTGTTACTTTTCCTGGCTGAAAATTGGTGGGCAACTGACGAAATCACTCAGGTCTCCTGATGGGAGGTGTGCATGTTGAAATTGGATCAGGGACAACCCCCTGGGTGGAAACACATGGAACTCAATTACACTGGATTCCAGCCTCACTGTCCTGCACTGTTAGCATTGGATAATAACTATACATTGGAACAAAAAGAATTTTAGACTATGAGAGGGTGGCTGTGTAATTCAGGAAAGCTACCTGAACCCCAACTCTGATTCGACAGGTACAAATCTGAATCAGTCATTGGTTATTAGGTCACAGGATACCATTGTCCTAAAATGTCTGACTTATGGTGCTTAACACCTGACAGATGAATGACCTTTCCTTCATACTTTTTCTCAAAAAAAATTTGCACCTTCTGTGCTTTTCCATCAGCCAAGACATGTGATTGTTGAAGTGAATAAAATAATATATGGAAAGCATAATGAATAATATACTCTGCTTTTAATAAGTGTGGTTGAGTGTTTCCTTTTAATTTACTATTTGTATTATACTACATGTATATAAATTACTTGTTTTCCAAGACTCCTTCTTTTCATATGAACATAAAGTCTTTGTAAACCAGATTTCTTTCTAACTTTATACTTCAGATTTACTTAGTAAACTGACAAAATGGCAGCTCTACAAATCACTGAGGTTCCCAGATGGCTTTTAATTGTGCCAGTACATCTTAGCATTTCTGTTTTTGTTATTTTGAGAAGAAGGCTTGCTACATAGCCCAGACTGACCTCTGCTTCCCAAGTGCCGGGATTACAGGCCTGTATCACACATGTGGTTTAAATTGGGCCCTTTTTCAAAACTCCTGGAGAAGCTTGGAAAAGTTGATTTTTATGTTGATATTAAGGACCTCAAATGAAAATAATAACCTCTTTGATGTGAGAGTTTCCTGATGAATAACTCCAATTTGTCATTTATTACAAAAAGA